AATTAAAGTTTGTTTATTTGATGGGGTGACTGCCACAGACCCAGCAAGTCTTACGAACACCATGCCATAGTCATAGTCCAAGTCCAAAGCCAAACAGTTTTTATTTTAAATGATAAAAGTAACAGAATTGGCAAAACTAGCTCTATTAAAATATAAATGCAGAAATAAAATACATATAGATGAATATATCTTATGAATATATCTTATCAATATAAAAGTTGTAACTTACCAGAAATCATCCAAATATACGTTGATCTCACTCCAGGCAACTTCTCTCACTAACGTGTGGGACTGGTGACTACCAACCTAAGCCTAAATGGAACTGAAATGAGTTCATAAAATATTATGGTTTCCTTTTAAGAGAGCTCAATTCAAGGGATGCTACTCTACAATTATTGCTATAAATTCACTCGCATCTTAACCCTTCAATTGGGGAAAAGACTCTCCACCCCCTTCTACACAGTGTTTCTTTCACTTTCAGGCATCTCTCCGGGAGGGAAGGGTTACACTGCACCCCCCCTTCGGGGCAAGTCAAGTGCCCCTGGGACAAAATTCGTACAACAATATGTTTCAAATATATTCTTATTAAAAAAACTAATGAATTATTAATTTCATACAGTTTTAAAAAGCATAATAACTTAAAGCGATTACAATTATTTGAATGTATCAAATATCGCTATTCTCGATATATTTGATGATCCGAATATTTATGGCTAATCTTGTTATAAAAGTTTTGGACTGCGATAAAGCTTTAAAATAGATTAATTAGACATATAGCATGTATTGTTATATTGACACATATTGTTCGTGTCTAATTAATATATATTCTCGTTAGTGGCTTACAGTATTCGGTTATAAATATCGTATTGGGCGCTGCAGCCTTACTTCCAGTCTTTCGCATAAATATGTATTTTTATTAATTTATTTTTTTGCACATCACGAAATAAAGACTTAAATAACACTGTGTTAAAATACCTTAACTTAACATCAATATAAAGATCTACAAATTTAATAATAGTTCCTGGTAAGTATCAAACATTTCCAAACTATTTTCAAATTATATTTCTTAATAAAAGCATTACTTTTAAGTAGGATAGGAATAGGTGTTAATTAAAATGTGTATGATGGCATTAGGCTTTAAAAAGTATAGTTATTACCATTATTTTAAATGTAAGGTACTTGATGTTGAGCTAGATATAAGGAAAACAAACGAATTGTATTATTATTAAATCAAAATTGTCGGTTTTCTTTAAATTTCCTAACTTTGTATTTAAAAAAAAATAATTAAAAAAAAAAAGTTTCATGAAAAATAGAGTTTTTTTTTTAATTTAGCCTTGGTTTATTTAAATTTCCAACTGCTTTTGTTTTTTTATAATCAGAATAATAAACAAACTGCCCTTCTTATTTTGAAAGAAGATTTTTTTTTAAAGTAATCTTCTAGGTGAAAATCTAGCAGAAGGCTAAGGAAAAAAAACAGATTTTGTGAACTAGCATTTCGATTATTGTGCAAATTCCATTTTTTTGTGCACGCGTTTAAGAAAAAAAATATTGTGACATAACGCCAAGTGCCCGGTCACTATTCGTCAAATAACTGGATTCGCAAGATAATGCTGATCGCTTGACCGCTGCCTTGGTCGGTAGTCAACTTCTAATCACACCGGGGGAAAAAATATAAGAACGCACGGTTGGTCAAATGGCTATGTGCTCACTTGTTTTGTCTGGTCATTTGTATGTGTGTTCACTGCATTGTTCGGAAAGGAATTCGACCCCCCCCCACACCCCCCCCCCCACACACACACAAGGCTTCAAGGAACCAACCGTATAATTCCGCCACACAGGAAGGGGCGCAATGTCGAGTATCAGGGTTGGTATATTACAATCATCAAACAAAGATTGTCATTCAATATTTGAAGTTGGAAAGCCATTAGAAAATAGAAGAAACACTGGAGCTTTATCATTATCATACTTTTGTTTTTAAACCTAACTTGTTCCTAGACACAAATGTATGCGAGTGTGTGTAGGGGTGGGTGGGTGGTAAGGTCGGAGGTTATCGATCTACTGATGATTTAAATACCTTTTATGTCAAAAATCCCTTTAAACTTTAACCCACCAAAAATACATGACAAACGAATTGGAAAACAATAAATGGATTGGTTTAACCAATACATCATAATGCATGCTATAGTAACCATTGAAGGCTTTTTAATATAGTCTCATCAGGAATAGTCTACATAGGAAGTTATAAATTTATTTCACTAGAAATCATTAATTGGGCTAAAAGAATGGATGACCCTCGTAGAGTTACCATGCGTTCGGGTTTCCCAGGACCTGTCCACAGGTGTCTTTCCAAGAAAAATGCCCCCCCCCCCCCCCGTTTTTTT